GGAGAAGGGATTGCGGCGTGACCATCCCCCCTGGGGGGTGATTTCTTGCTTTCTGTCTCTATGTCTCTCTCTGTCTGTCTGGCGAGCGCACGCGCCCTACAGTGAAAATCTCTCCAAAAAAAAAAAAAAGTTTCAGAAGAAAATTACAGTGCACTTGTAACTAGATTCCAGCTCTGTCCATATTTTTAGTTCAAGGTATTCTGTGAATCAATAAAATTTAGGGAAAAAAAAGTAAAGGGAGAACAGAAAGTTCTCATATATTTTTCATCTAGTTTCATCAAAAGCTACATCTTATGTTGCTAAAGTACATTTGTCAAAACAATGAAATAAATATTATTTTGTTATCATTAACTAAAAAAAGAGGACAAATTCTGTCATTTGAGATTAATTGTAAGTCTGAAGGAAATTCTGTTAAATGAAACAAGACAGGCACAGAAAGAGAAATACCACTTATTCTCCCTCCCACATATGTAGAAATCTAAAAAAAAAAAAAAAAAAACCTCATAGAAGTAGAGAGATGAAGAATGATTACCAGAGGGAAACTATGCTCTAAACTTCATCTTCTAGACTCCCGAAATAGTCAGACAAGTGGAGGAGAGATTTTGTCACAGAATGACCAGAAACCACTGCAGAGGCACAAGAAACATAAGAAACCAAGAAAATCTCTCTTCCCTAAGGGAAAAGAATAATCCCTCACCATCCACAGACAGTACAGTAGAACTCGTGGATGGAAATGTCTGATACAGAGTTCAGAATATTCATAGTGACAAAACTAAACAAGATGCAAGAGCTGATAGATAATGAACTCCAGAAGATCCAGAAGAAAAGAGACAACAAATTCCAGGAGGTGTGGAAGTTCTTTTATGACCTGAAAGACCACGTGGGAGTCCAGCAACATAGCCATTACACTAACTGCTGGTTCCTAAACCAGCATAATCTTTTAAAGTTTGATTTTCTGTTGCTTCTACACATACATGAAGTGGATTTCTGTTTACTAACTTCACATCCAGCAACTTTCCTAAACTCTTATTAATTCCAAGAATTTATAAGATGGCTGAATTTTCTATAGAAACAGTCATGTTATCTAAATAATGACAACTCTATTTCTTCTTTTAAAACCTTAAACCACCTTTCCAACTTAGGCTGGGCAGAATGGCTTTCCCAAAGAAGGGCCATTCTGCCATGAACAAGATGGTAACCTGGGAATACACCATCAACATTCACAAATGCATCTATGGCATGGGTTTCAAGAAATGTGGCCCTTGGGAACCAGCAGTTAGCATAATGGCTATGTCGCTGCACTCCCACGTAGTTGACCACGGTTTGCGTCCCGGACCCGGTGGCTTAAAACTCACGCCGGGCGTGTGTGCGTGTGTGCCCAAGATCCCGAGAGGAGAATGGAGGAGAAGGGATTGC